GAGGACTCAGGGCGGCTTACAGCCAGTTTAAAACAATGATATAATACAATACAAACTTTAAAAAAGATTAAAAATAACTATTTAAATTTGGCCGCTTCTACTAAAAATTTAATTTAAAACCCCTTTAAAATACCCCTAGGCCAGTCCTGCCTGCTGAAATAACCAGGTCTTAAGGGCGCGGCGGAAGGAGGGGAGATCTCTTGATTGTCTGGAGGTAAAGCACAATCGAGGCTTACAAGTTTCTGTTATTATAGCCATCTCAATAAAAATAGTTGTAGTGTTCCTGCAGAGTTGACTGCTCGGTCTGGTCTGCCTAGTGGGGCTGACTAACCACTTCCAGATACAACCAGCATTTCTGTGGTTTATTCTGAGTTTGTTAATGGGTTGCTTTCCAGTTCATCCTGTCCAGACTGTTTAGATGACAAAAGTACATTTAAATCTATTGTGGGCCATTGTTTTCAAAGTAGCAAAGCAGTGGGCATGAAAAAGTATTTTTTTTTTTTTTGGATGAGCCATCCTGAGAGCTTGTGGCATTTTCCAGATATTTAACATTGCAGTCCCAGCTCTGACAGAGTTAAAGGACCCTTTGCAAAAGGAGAAGACTAAAATACAACAAGGTGACTTCTTGAGAAATGTGGGATCAAATCTTAATGACGTACAACATCCAGAACAGCTTGACCAAATCGAATAGATTAGATCTAAAAAAAGGCAGATCCAGTTACCGTTTTGCTCTTTTCCCCAAATTTCATTTGGAACAAGTGGGACCAGGTTTCCTTATCTTTTTAATTTTCTGCTGCTTTAAATTAGAATAATTATGACATCCCTCACAGGGTTATTAAGATGAACGCAATAAGCAACTGTAGTGTACAATTAAAGTAATATAGTAATAAAGTCATTTTAAGTTATTCTTCCCCGTTCTTATCTTATAGCCGCATGTCATACGCTAAAAACTGGCTGTCACTTGCCTGTTAGCACCCAAATGTTTGAAGAGCAAAAATTAGCTGTAGAAACAATGTTAGAACATGGGAAGAAATCCATAAATAGCAAAGAGGGACAAAAAAACAAATTAAGCTGAAAAGCAACAAGGCTGCTACAGAAGAGATGCATGGAAGAAATACAGATTTTAGAAAAGCAGAAAAGGAAAGTAATAAAAAAGAGAGATCATCATCAGATGATTTGTTAGGAAGGCAGAGGATCCTAGTAAAGAGGGCAACAAGCAATGGATTTCAGATCTTGATTTTAACCCAGTAACCTTTAATTTAATTTAATTTAACCCAGTAACCAGTAGTCAGCTACTTATAAAAACAGTGGTAGCGAACCTATGACATACATGTTAAAGATGGCACACCATAATGTTTTGGGTGACACGCTGGTGTTCACCAACACCCAACAACACCTCTACTTGAAAGCATGTCCTATTGTTGTGTGATTTTCGGAGACCCACACGAAAATGAGATATGTTCTCATTCAGCCTCTGGACCCTTCAAAAATGAGTTTGTTTTACTCGTATTTTGTTTTTGTAATTAGCTGGCATTTCTTTAGATAATGCATAGCGCCACACTTAGAAATATGGAAAACTGATGGCAGAAAAACCCCTGCCCTTTGAGGTTCTATTTTTTTTAATTTAATTTTTTAAAAATTTTGTCAGATGATGGACATGTGTTTATCCCAAGCATGTTTAAACTCAGTTACTGGCGATTGAGCCACGGTCTTCCCTGGAAGTTGGTTCCAAGCTTCCACCATCCTTTCTGTGAAGTAATACTTTCTAAAATTACTTTTGAACTTCCCTCCTGTTAGTCTGAACTTATATGTATTCTTGATTTTTGCTTAGTAATAAAAATACTCCCTTCTAGAACCTCATTCACACCCTTAATNATATATTTCAAAGTTTCAGTCATGTCCCCATTTTTCTTTCTGTCCTCCTGGCTGTACATATTCAGTTCCTCCAATCTCTCTCGATACGTTTAATTTCTCAGACCTTGCACACATGATAGGACTGTATTTTTTCCCTCTCAAATAAATTAATATGTGAAGAACTGTCCCACTTGTGTTTGAAGGCTTAGGGCTGACATGCCAACAGAACCGACTTAGGCATTTTCCGAATTTTTGACAATGGCGAGCCCAAAGGTTTTGCCATCACCGTGCTAAAAGATCTTTATTGGGATCACTTAGATATGTCTTCTGTGTCTTAACACTGATTCGGTTTAAGTCTCAGGCATTGCACATTTAATGTAGCCAGAATTAAGGAAGAAAGGCGGCGGGGGGGGGGGGGACAACAGCAGTAGAAGTTGGATATGTAATCATTTCTACATGTTCTCCTTGATTTTCAGAACCATGTAAGAACCAACCCCAAAGTAGAAAACATTCTGTCTCCAAAAGTCTCAAATACCTCTTTCATCCTGGTAGCAAATTTTTAAAGGCCCTGAAAAGGTAAGAAAATTTGGGGGGAGGGAGAGGTGCTCTCCAGAACATAGGATTCTGTATCTGCTCCCGTGGCTGTTGAACTTTCTTTTTTTTTCAATAATTTTTTATTAATAATACAAAATTAAGAACACATTGGACATAGATATGACGTCACTGGTTCCATACATCTTCCAACATTTTACAATAGTATTAATACTCATATAGACATATAGTTCTTGAACTTTGCTCACTATTTATAATATACTATTAACACTTTTTCCCTTATTTCTATATATCTATTTATCTTTTAAATATACATTTGTCTATAATCTATATTTTATTCTAGCACTATACATTTATCTTGGCTACCCTCTTATTGTCTATCCAATCATAAAATTGTTCCCAAATTTTATAGTACTTGGTTTCACTTTTGTCCTTGAGTTCCCATGTAAGTCTATCCATTTCAGCGCAATTGAAAATTTTCAATAATATTTCCTCTTCGGTTGGAGTATCTTTCTCTTTCCATTTTTGAGCGAAGGCTATTCGTGCCGCTATTCCTACATGCAGTAGTAAATAATTTGTGTTGTTGAACTTTCTATTGAGTCCTTGAATGTAAATTTAGATATGTCACGGAGGATTGCATTGCTGTTACTGGTGGCAAAACAAGATATAAACGAAGCAAAAAAAAAAAGGAATTGATTGTAAATTTGATAATGGCAGCTGGATTAGCGATGGCTAAATATTGGAGACGGAACTGGGTTATTTGAAGAAATGAGTGGTCTAATGAAATATGGAAAACGGCAATAAATTATAAATTAACAACAGAAATTAAATTTTAAAGAGGGATGATTAAAGTAAATAATTATAATGAAATACAGGAGGATTTTATAAAAATCAATGTTGGTGGAAGGCAAAGGGAACAAACTTACTCAGGAATA